TGAGTATTGGTGAGGGCTGGGCTAGTTAGTAACTGCTTTAAGGAGAAGGCAAGATTTGTCTTAACTTTGAAGGATGGGACAATTACAAATAATTCTGAAGACTTAATTTATTGATTGATTCATTCAACAAATATTGAGCACCTACAATTTGCTAGGCTTATTCTAAGTACTGGGAATAAAGTTGTAGATATGGTAGAATCTCTTCCCTAAAGATATTTCTATGTTGGTTGGGTAAACAAAGTACAAGTAGACAAGTAAATGTATATTTTATAATTCCAGATGGTGATAAGTGTTCTGAAAAAAATTTAGTAGGGTGAAGGCATAGGATGCTAATTTTATGCCTCTCTAATGAGCTAACATTTGATCAGGGGCCTGAATGAAAAGAGCAAGAAATGAAAGAACAAGATGCAACGATATAGCATTGCAGGGGCTTGCGGGGAGGGGATAATGGAAAGTTAGTGTTTCATGGGTACAGAGCTTGAGCTAGGGAAGATGAAAATGTTCTGGAGATGGATATTGGTGATGATTATATAAGGGTGATTGTACTTAATGCCTTAGCATATTTTACCACTTTTTTTTTTTTTTTTTTTTAGGTTCTATATCAATATCAGAAAGAGTGGGAAGCCATCTCTATGGAATCTAGTTTTAATTGAATATTCACATTCATGGAGAAAAAGTGAGTACTGCTGTCCTGGTTATTCACAGATAATATCTATGGCAGGAAACAGCCAGTTTTATTTGGATATAAATTCCTATGCTAAATTGATCCTGAACAAACACAAGCAAGAATTGATGTCAGGATTGCCATCACTGAGCCAGAGTCTGCACGGTAACTGTGTGAGGAGGGAACCGGATTCCCCCAAGAGTCTAGCAAACAAACAGGAGGCCTGCTGCTCATCACCATGGGTACAAAATCCCTTGGGCCTAAAGTAGGACCTAGATTCTTCAGAACTGGTCCAGGAAGATACCTTTGTTTTCAAGTCTAGCAAATCAAATGAGGAGGGGAATCCTAACATAAATGTACAGTGAACTGGTTGAGATCTATGATACTAAGATATTCTTGAGGCAGAAAGAAAGGAGTCTGGCACATCATAAAATCATTGACACTTATTTAAAAATAAAAATAAATAATTTCTGCAGATATTAAACTGTACCTGAACATAGATTAAATAAAAAGAAAATAACCTGTGCTGGGTTTGGATTTTATATGTATGTACACACACACACACACACACATCCCATGTCATAACACTGATTATTTTTGAAGTCTGTAATATGAATTCACCAGAGACTGGGACAGTAGGATATTAACCTGATTCCCCTACCAAGCCCCACCATTCATTTGGGCTTAATTTACCAACTTCCAAAAGAGTGATAATAATGTTTGCCTTGTCGACAGACAATGTTTAAGGTCATCAATTTGAGATAATAATGCTAGCTACCTTAAAAATATAGTAAGTATATTTTTAAATAAAAATAGCTACAATGCATTGAGTGTCAATATGTGACTGATGCTTTTGTGTGTTTTACATAATTTCCTTTGGTTCTATGAACATGATCTATTTTACCACCATCATTGTACAACTGAAAACACTGGAGCACTGAGAGGCTAAGCAGCTTGGCTTGTTCAAGGTCACCTGGCTTGTTCAAGGCCACCTAGCTTGTTCTCAGCTGAATTAAGATACAGATCCATTAGACTCCATAATCTTTGCACATTTGTATCACTGATGAGAAGTTATTCAGTTACTTTTACATTTTTTAATTCCATTTTAAGCTGCATTTCATGGTTCTGTAAATGTTATTCCCAAAATATATTGCCCAGCATTAGCAGCACCTCATATTTGAAAAGTAATTTTTTTAAACGCTTTTCATTTTCTCACTTAGTTTTCACGATGTTGGGAAGGAAGTGTTTTAACTCCCATTTTAAAATAATGAAAATCAAAATGCAAAGATTTTAAGTTCTTTGCATAAAGAAACCAGTTGGTAGCCAAGCCAGGATTCGAACTGAAGCCATCTTACTCTGCGTCCAACCCTCTTCAATACACAAGTGGAAAATGGGTTGAGACTGTGGGATTGCTGAACAAAAAATTGAGAAAAAATGGAAAGTTTCCAAATAGATTTTAAAATAATTCCAAAAGAGTATCACCCTCTTTCCAGCCCCCATCCACCAGAATAATCATTAAGTTTGTCATGTTCCCTCTAATACTTATAAAATTGCTAATAAAAACATATACAGATATATGTGGTTTTAAATTTTTTAATGTTTTAAAATACCATCATACTGTAAATATTATTTGCAATTGGAATTTTTTTCTTTACATTATTCCAGGTAAATCATACAGATCTAATTACTTTTCAAGATATGGGAGAATTTACATGTGAACATATTTAAAAACGAGGGCAGAAATTCAATTTAATAAATATTTATGGAGCACTACTATGTGCCAGGCACTGTTCTGTGCATGCTGAGGATACAACAGTAACCAAGACAGACAAAACTGCCTGCCCTTGGGCTTCCACAGTTTGCCACTGTGTAGACACCCACTTGTATCATTAACAATTTTAGCATATGTGTTTGCCAATACAACATATAATTTATTATTTAACAGTAACATGAATTCTATAGTATGGTATACGAGAACTTATTCAGCCATTTACTTATTTGACATTCATTTATGCTTTATTTTGATTTTTACAATCAATGCTACAATAAACATCCATATTACATATATCCAATGTAATGATGCCTTTATTTCTTCTGAAGAATGGGTTTTTAAAAGTAGGATTGCTGACTCAGGGGATGTGTGTGTGTATGCTTAATTACATGTGTGTAATTATATATATAATTTAAAACTTTTGATACATTCCTCAGATTACTTTTAATAAAATGCTGTAGCAGTTATGTTTTTCTATCAGCTTATAACAGTGTTGATTTCCCTATGTCTTTACCAACACTGAATTTTAAATTTTTTAAAATTTTGCCAAACTCAAAAAGTAGTTTTGATAATACCGATTTAATTTGTATTCATCTGACTCTTCTACTAGAGATGGTTAAGCATCCTTACATGTGTTTATTGACATTGCATTTCCACTTAGTAACAACCACTAATAGCTAATAGAGTCAGGTGCTAGAATGTGCATCATCTCATTTGATTCTCACAACAACCCTACCAGAGAGATAGCATCTGCTTCCCACACCTATTTTACAGATGAGAAACTGTTTCCAAGAAGTAATGACACTTACCCAAGGTCACACAGCTGACAAAGTGGTAGAGTGGGAATTTTAACAAGTTCCATTGTAGTGCTTCTGGGCTGAACCACTACACAAACCAGGAACATTTTCAAGCCATTCCCTCTAATCTTACTCCTTCTTTTCTGGTGAAGTCAGAACAACTTGGTTAAATCAGCAAATACTTGAAGGGTCCCTTTGCGGAAGATACTATGATAGACATTATTGGGTGATCTGAAGAAACAAAGCTCCTGCCGCAAAATCTTTTTGACGAACCAAAATACATTAGAGGTAAGGGAGATATATATATATCAGTTTTTTAGAAGGATGTGATTTACTATCAGCAATTATGGTGTAGTCAGAAAATCTATCCAATGTCAGAGAAGCGAATAACGCACAAAATTTTGCCGCCCTACAGAATTTAATGCTAGTCAGAATAGTGGGGAACATTGCAAACAATTGCGTAATGAGAGTTAAAGTGGATTTATTTTTATTTTTGCAGAATAATGTAGGAAATAAATCACTTTCGAGATGATGCTATTTCTAGAGAAAAGCAGTACTAAGCTGGGTAAACAAAAACTAGCAAACAGCCCCGTCCCTTCCCTTTTGACCCGTTTCTCCATCCCCCAGGTGTGCTCACTGGCCCTGGTACTATCCACCTGGGTGGTGCTGAAGCAGGAGTTCACTCTCCGCTTTCTAAAGCCATTCCCAGTACAGCCCTAATACTCTTGGTCTCCTTTTGCTTCCAAAATCAGGATCTGTCAACCGACTTCTGCCTGAAGACTTTCTAATCACGCTTACTATGCAAATCTAAACTCCGCAGTGTCCGACAGAGGACTCTGCCAATAATCTTTTATTGAAGATCCTTCCTCTTGGCCATCCTCGCCAACTATATCTTAAACACATGCCGGTTGCCTTTTACAGGGTTAATAGCTCACCCATCAAAATCTGTAAATACATGTGATTCATTATACTGTGTCATTCCTGAGACAAGAATATGCGTAATGGAAATACAAACCCACAAGAAGATGCAGCTCTTTGAACGGATATTGGTTATTTCCTTTTTCTCTTTCTTGTCCTACATTCCCAGTCCCTTGGCCATTTCCCCTACGCTTTGGAAAGACATACTTCCTGAAATTTAAATCACAGGCTAGTGATTTCCTGCTCCGCTTCCCGTCTCCCTTACGCCTCTCAGTTTCCTACTGTTTGCCTGAAGCCGGATCCGCGAGCGATGGTGACCAATGGTCTCCCCGCTTTGCTGACCAAGGTGGTATCTAGATTCCGACTAGCTCCTCGGTGTAGTGTCGCTGAACCCTAGTATCTACACCCTCCCTCCCAATCCTCTCCTCCAACTGCCCGGTACCGCTCTAGGAGGAGCCTAAATGTCTTCTCCGGGAGCTGAAGGGGATTGTGCTGCGTAAACAGGATTAACTCTCTCGCCCCCAGCCGCGTTGATCTGTCTGCGGCCTCAGGGCTACCGCGAGTCCACGGGTGCGCGGAGGGCGCAGCACAGGAGCGAGGGATGCGGGGGCTCCGGGCTTGGAAACTGTTCCAGCCTCTCGCTTCCTCGCCAAGTGAGGCGGAAGGCCACAGCCTCAGAAGCTGCTCCTCCAAAGCCCGGGCGGACGGCGCGGACTCGTAGGTGCAACCTCCCCTCCGCCACCTCCCTCTCCTTCCCGGCGCTTCCTCTCCGCCCACCGCACTCCAGCTGCTGGGTCGCAGCACTAGCTGTCCGCCCCCCGGAGCCGCCGCGCCCGCCCGGCTCCCAGCCATGGGGGACCTGCCCGGCCTGGTGCGCCTCTCCATCGCTCTGCGCATCCAGCCCAATGATGGCCCAGTCTTCTTCAAGGTGGACGGGCAGCGCTTCGGCCAGAACCGCACCATCAAGCTGCTCACCGGCTCCTCCTACAAGGTGGAGGTGAAGATTAAGCCCAGCACGCTGCAGGTCGAGTGAGTGCGGGCGCGCGCCGCGGATGGCTCCCCACCCCACCCCCCGCCACCCCCGGGGTACGCGCGGAAGACCGAGGCCCGGGAACAGCCTGAGGCTCCTGGGCCTCTCTGGGCTCGTGCCGCGCCCGGCAGGACCCGGCGTTGTGAGGGGCAGAAGTCAGCTCCCTGTTCCTCTTGGTCCCCTCCTCTGCCTTAACTCTTTTCTTTCCTCTATTCTCACTTCCCTCCACCCACCGCGGGTGGGATGTTTAAAACAGCTACAGGACGCCTGGGGGCTAGGGTTTTGTTTTTTGTCTTTGTTTTTGTTTTGTTTTTGTTTTTTCATTGTAAATTTCTCATCCCTTCTGTCCAGCCATCGGCGTGGACCCCCAGGCGGCCAGAGTGGTGCAGATACGAGCGGCTAGCCTTGGGGTTCACCTTCCTCAATCTCGGTCCTCCTCTCCCCAGTCCTGGCATTCCGCCCGGGTCGGACCGCAAGGATGAAGGAGGGAGAACAGCTGAGGAATGAAGTGTAAAGGCGGGGGTGGGGTGGTTATTGGGGCTCCCTGAGGACGCTCCCCACTCCTCCCTCCACCCGTATGTGGCTGAGGACCCCGGTGCGGGAGGAGCAGCCACAGGTCAGAGCACAGCCTCTGCTTGGCCTAGTTTGACGGGTTTTCATGCCTGGTGTTTTTCCTTTTTTCCTGAGTTGTCTGTCTGTTCAGCCTAGTGATGGTGCCTGGGATTGGCAACATACTTACAACAAAAAGACGAGGGGAGGTGTTTTGTTTGTTTGTTTGTTTGTTTATTCGTGGCAGGAATTATCTTCCCTGCTACCACAGTTGATGTGCCTGGTAGACCTCAGGCGGAAAGTCAGTGTGATAGGATGCAGTAGCTATGGAGAAGTACCCAGAGGTGGAGTCATTTACCTCTCAGCCTCCACCTAAGCATGATATGAAGTCTAGCGTGGAAGGAAGAAATAACTAGCATTTATATCATCTACCATATTCTGAGGGGAGATGGAGTGGGGCTTTGCATCCACCAAACACCTTTTATAGCTTAAATGTCCTTCCGTGGTCATTAATTCAATAAACTTGTTTTGGCCTTTTAGATGCCAGGCCTTAGTTCAAAAACCTAGAACCAAACCTGGATTGTTTCTGGTACTCCTGGTCCATCTATTTGTCAGCATCCCCCACAGCTCCGCGCACCCATTACTCTCATATTTCCCAGTGTTCTGTGTATTGCCTATGATCTAGACTTTTCCTTTTCTTTTTTCCTAGCAACCTCGTTTCTCAGGTTATCTGTTCTACATGCAATTTTCTTCTGGGTAGTTCTCTACTTTTCAAACTAATCTAAAAAACCAATTTGTGTTCATGACAAAACTTTTTTCTAGTTATACTTTAATTTTATCAAGGGTTTTTCAATGACCTAACTTAGGGTTCTCAAACTTGAGTGTATATCAGAATCACATGGAGGGCTTGTTAAAACATAGATGGCTAAGCCTCACTCTAGAGTGATGTTTAAGAATTTGCTTTCTAATAGGTTGGCAGATGATACTGTTATTTCAAGTTTAGGGACTACTGCTTGAGAACCATTATCTTAATACAAGGGAATAATGCCAGTGAGAATTTCTGGTGGTGTGGCTGGCTTGAGGAAGAGTACCCGAACTCACAGGACACCTGACTGTTGGAACATAAAAAAAAATCATTAGTTTAGTGGTTCTCAACCCTACCTACACATTAGAATCACCTAGAAAATCTTAAAATAAATTTACCAGTGCCCAAACTACATCCCAGACCAACTGAACCCTAATCTCCGGGGTTTGTGATGGGACTGGGTATAGCTGGGTTTTTAATAGCTCCATAGATGAGAAACTAAAGAAGAGGACCACTGATAGGGTCCTACTAGGCCTCGTATAAGTATTCTGGATGAGAATACTGAGGTCAGTTCAGAGAGATTAAGTAGCTATGGTCACATGAGTGATTAGTTGAAGAACTCAAGCCTCCTGAACTTGCAGAACTCTCTACCATACCTGTCTCCTCTAGCCACATCCTGTAGGCTTCCTGCCTAGGGTTGTGGTTTGACCAGGACCACAAAGGGTGCCTAAGCTAATTCCTACCACATGTGGCCAACTCAAGTTTATTACAGGAACATTTCCATTGGTGGTGTGGCGGTCCCACTGGAGCTGAAGTCTAAAGAGCCTGATGGGGACAGAATTGTTTATACGGGCACATACGACACAGAAGGTGTAGCCCCAACCAAGAGTGGAGAACGGCAACCCATCCAGATCACCATGCCGGTAAGGCCTGCTTGTGGGTGTTGGTGTTGGGGTGTGGTGCCAGGCAAATCAAAACCATAGAAAACAATCACTATCTCCCCTTAAGGAAAGGTATAAAAAGAAATGTTATGAAATTATGAATTATCATCGCAATTCATGGTTTCATATTAGAATCTAATTGTCTAGAATATCACAATACAACTAATTAAATAATTTTGTGCTTCTCCAATAGTCAATTTTAAGGCTTTCTACACTTCTAATCTATTGCGTTGATCTGTTTATTCTTATGCCAATACTGCATTGTTTTAAATACATTGCTTTTATAATATGTGTTATAAATAAATAATGTATTTTGCAACTGGTCACCTTACTGAACTTGCCTACTAAAATTTTTTAGTAAATGATCTTGGGTTTTTCAGATAGAAAGTCGTAATCTGCATGTAACTGTGTAGTTTTCTGGTTT